ACAGCAGCGGGAGTCGCCCCTGCCCCCATCCCCACACCCCCCGGATAAGCTGCGACTCCATCCTGTGCCTGCCCTGCCCTGGCTGGGCAACACTTGACCCAACCCCTGTCCCAGCTCCACTCCCTTCCACACCATGGGGGACCTTGATCTGCCCTCCCACACCCCTTCCGTCTCCCCTCCCCTTCCATCACAACAGATTTACCAGCTGGATACTGCTCTTCAAGCTGCCAGGCTGTGCTTCTCACCACCTATGTGCTGTGCTGCAGGTGTGCATGCATTTATTAGCCAAATTATCGGCCATATCAGGCCAATTTCCAACACATACTATTTTCTTTATATCGGTGTTGATCCAATATCAGACTGATGTATTGGTGCACTTCTACTTAGAGGCTTAATTTTGATGACCTATAAGCAAGTCGGACATTTTCGATTTCAATTTTACTTTGCCTTATCCATAAAACTGCAATGAAAGTATCTGAATACAATATTGATAATACAAATACTCACTATAATTAATCTTTATTTTCAGAAAGTGTGGGGCCCCCGACGGTCGCCTGGTTTGCCCTCCCCTAAGGCTGCTACTGCTCAGGCCTTAATTGTATTTTCTGAAAGTCTGAATAAATTACTTCTTGCAAAGTTCTTCCAGAAGCTATTTCAGCAAGTTCATTTTTAAAATACTCTTTTCTGTTTTGGGTTGGTTTGAGAGCTATTCCTTATACTTGAAATGGTATTCCAAAATTGATATAATTTCAGAAATCTACATGTGAATAAATACTGAAAAACAAGGTTACAGTATTGTAACTCATCCACTTACAGCACAACTGAAGACACAAACCCAAGCATTCTTTATGTGACATGGACATGTAATTCATGGGGCCTGATTCATAGAATCATAGAAAATTAGGGTTGGAAGGGACTTCAGAAGGTCATCTAGTCCACCCCCGTGCTCAAAGCAGGACCATCCCCAACTAAATCATCCCAGCCAAGGCTTTGTCTACCCAGGTCTTAAACAACTCCAAGGATGGAGATTCCACAGCCTCTCTGGGTAGTCTGTTCCAGTGCTTTATTACCCTCCTAGTGAAAAAGTTTTTCCTAATATCCAGCTTAAACTACCCTTGCTGCAACTTGAGACCGTTGCTCCTTGTTCTGTCACCTGCTACCACTGACAGCAGTCTAGCTCCATCATTTTGAAACCACCCTTCGCATAGTTGAAGGCTTCTATTAAATTCCCCCTCAGCCATCTCTTCTCCAGACTAAATAAGCCCAGTTCTTCTTGTTGAAGCTCTTCTACTTCACAATAGAAAAGTTTCAGAAGAGGAGCCAGAGTACCAGCCTCACAAGACCCCGCCGTCTGGTGGTTGGGGAAATATTTTAAGAGACGGGAACTGTGAGTTTAAATTTTCTCAGGCAGAGGAGTCATTTAAACTCAGATCCTATGTAAGTGCTCAAATCAGTGAACTACTAGAAAAAAGGGTATTGTGTCCTGCCTCTGCTACTCTTCTCAGCAGTGGTTTAGGTGCCAACTGTTGCAAGAGGGTTCAGGGCTGTGAATCCTTGGTGGAGGGAGGTGGAGACAGACACTGAGCTGATCAGCACCATCAAGACTGGGGCACTCTGGGCATACCTGGAAACAGAACTTGAGAGCAACTGAAGAACTAGTAACTGAGGAACATCAGCAGCTGAGGGTAACTAGCAAGATCTGTGCCCTGGGCAAACCTGGTGAGCAATCACATGCCCTCCCAATGGTCCTCTCCCCCTGCTGATTTGTGCTCTGGACCAGCCTTTCCCATACCTGTTGGACTCTCTCACACCCCCCTAATGGCCCCCTCTGCCTGCTCCAGATACCACTGCATCTCTCTTCTCTCCCCCTTTACAGAGTGCCAAACCTCCCTGCTCTAGCCCAAGGGCAACTCTCTTACTCTCTCTGCTGCCAAAACCTATGTTAGTGACATTTTACAAAGCAAAATTTGGCAGTGGGGGTGTGAGCGAGTGACAGAGTAGCTGGGGCATTGTGGAAAGTTTTGAGTGGAGAAAACAGTCAAGATTAATGGTGGGGGAGGTGGCAATAGACTTGTAAGCAAAGGGGACCATTAGAGGGATGTGAGAATGCCCACAAGATTTAAAAAAATGCTAAGTACGGGGAAGGAAGAGAGTGGAGGGGACTTGAGAGCACTCTTTCTAAGCCAGGGTCCGTGTCCTGCTAGCCCACCTCTGATTATGTTACTGCTGAGGAATTTTAATGTTGGGGAGGTAAATATCTGTGGACTTTATGCATAGGTGGCAGTTGAGTAGTGATTTTTTTAAGATTACAGTTTTGAACCTGAGTGCCTAAGGTTAGGTCTGTACCAATCCAGTACAGTGGCAGGCAGAGCCGTCCTAAGACATGCTGTGTCAGTCCTATGAACACTGCCTCCCAAACAGGAAGTCGGTGGCTACAACACTTGCCAGTGAGCTCTCTCAGCATATTTTACTAGCATGCACATAACAGCACGCAGCATGCACACAGTGTTCCAGTACACCACTGCCTGATGCTGTATTGATAATTTATAATTATTGATAATATTAATGAAGATCCTGTTTACATTCAGTGTGTACAGTCCCAGTTACGCTACAGTCCCAGCTATGATGTCTACATAATAGACATAATATAATAGCTGTCTATTATGATTCTGCTAATGGGGAACATTAAAAGCTATCAATAGAATTTTCAATACTAATCATTAGCTTTCAGAGATCTCAAAGCACTTTATAAAGGAAAGTATCATATACAGATAGGAAAAATGGAGATAATAGATGAAGCACCATATTTTTCACATACTAGATGCTCCTGAAAAAAACATGCACCTTGTTTTGGGAAGGCAGAATGACTGTCCAGTCATGGCTGAATGCTGAACGCAGGGTATTCTGACTGCAGCAGTTGTGGCTGCAAGAGAGGTTAACACTGTAGCTCTCACCCTGAAGGGTGAACTCTGCTCCCCCCCTCCCCAAAGCTGCCAGAGGAAGAAGCCTGGTAGCCATTTTACAGCAGTGTCTCTATGCTTGCTTCTGTCACAGAAAAGAAAAATCTGCTTCCCCATTTAAGATGCACACTCCACTTTTGGATGGCTGCTTTTTGGGTAAAAGGTGTGCGTCACAGGTGAGTAAATACAGTAAATGCCCAAGTACTTAAAGCCTTGCTGCTGTTGACAGGCCAAATTAAACAAGTTGAAAAGAAAAACTGTAATTCAAATGTTCTTGTGCTTTATATTCATTTGGACTTGATGATAAAACTGATTTATTATTCTTAACTGCATGAATATGACAGTGTATTTAAATTTTTAAAAAAATCTCTTACTTCAGCATCAAAGCGAGGATCCTGATATGCATCACTGATGTTCACTGGAAGACCCGTAGAAGCTACTAGCTCAGCAATGCTATTATTTATTAGCCAGTCAGAATAAGATGATGATTTCTCCATACTGTCTTTGAAACTATCATAAAGGCATAGTAAGGGAGAAAAGAATACAATCAATGTTGCTTGAAGTCCACCATGTATCTCACAGGCATAGTCAAGTTAACATCAAAATTATTTATAAATTAATAATAGCTGATAAAGTCCATCAGCCAAAAGAGAAACAGCAACGCCAAAAGTATTAGTTTTGATTATATTGTAAAAAAACTGTCATGTATGGGACATGTCCTATAGACCTTTTATTAATACCTTAAAAGCTTATTCACGTGAATATTTTTGCTGGATGACAGTTTTGAAAATCACTGGTAAAACTTACATTAACTTCACTAGGCCCAGGATTTCACTTCAACTGGACTATTCATGTAAGTGGTACTCATGAGACATAGGGAAGTGCAAGATCAGGTAACTAAATGATCAGAAATTATTAATTCACAAAACGCCCTGGAAAGGGATCAAATGCAAGGTTTTTTTTGTAAAAATAAGGACTTAGAAGAATACATAGCAAGAATATAAATCTCAGGGTTTTTTGCAAGACAAGTTAGCCAACTTATTTTCCCCATTAATATGTATATCACAAGTTAATCTATCAACAAAAAGAAAAATATTACTCAAGATTTTTTGAAAGGATGCAACATTATTGGGTTAATTCCACTCCAGCTAGTATTTTAAAAATTCATCAAAACTCAGAGAAAGGAGAAATTTGTTTAACACCATTTCTGCAGGAAACTACTAATAGCTTCCAGCAGGTGTCAAAAAAGATTCTTCATTTTAAATAGCTAGTTTTCCAGAGTAAATTGTCAGTTTACAATGTAATGATATATTTCTCACCTACCCCACTGTTTAAAAAAATGCTATAAAGATTTTGGTTAAAGAATAAAATCCCCAGATAAACACTATTTATGACAGAGTTCAAGTTGAAAGTATATATCAATAATTTACAACAGTATTGCAGTTACCCCCTCCCAAAAGAACCCCAAAACCCCAACTTTCTACAACAATTAAATTTACAGTTAAGGTTAAGCTTTAAACAAATCAAAACATATCAAGATTAATATGCATAAACAGACACCCAGATAAACTTTACCCTGTATGATTATTGCATGGCATCAGTACCAATATAACTGACGTATAAAGGCAGAATAGATTATTTTCATAATATCTTATTTATGGTATCAGAATTATTGTTGTTTGGGTGCTACAGCTTTACAATAACTGTATTTCTGTAAGTTTTACACTTACAAGAACTCATGTTTTCCTATTCTTCTTTCAATGTCATTCCTAAGCGGACGGTATTAGGTCATTATGATTAAATAAAAATGATGCTCAATAAAGAATTCTAAATATACCTGAATCTAGAGTGGAATTCTTTTCTATTTTTTGTGTGGGACTGTGACTCCTAAAACCAGAAAACTGTAAATGAAAATGTTATCGAGTAACTAAAAAATGTACCATTTGCAGATTTCTTGGTTGAAAAATAAAAGGAAACTGCTTACAGTAACTTCTTTTTCAGCATTTTTAGTTCAAACTTTTTAATAATTCAACAGACATTTTTTGCAGTTTGCATTGGCAAAAACTGCAAAAATATTAAATCATGTGGAAAGCCACACTTCTTAATTTTAGCCTGCAGCCTTGAACTCTGTTGTGATGTAAGAAAACATAGTCCTTTCAATAAATGAAAGTGTTTGACCAGTAAGAGTGAATTAGGGAAATGATACTCTTGTTTTTGTGGTTGAACCTCTGCCATTGCTAATATGCCTGCAAAACTGGCAAGAAGGGAACATAAGAATTTAGCATTATGGTTTCAATTTATCAACTTTGTATATACAAACATCCGGATGACTGCAAAAGCCGTAAGGTCATTATCCTATTTGTCATCAGTCAATAGTAAAATTCCCACTGACTCACTGGGGCTAGGGACAGACATTCAAAAAGCCTGAGCCTAAATTGATTCAATCTTTGCAGGTTAATCTAACCTGCAAATCAGGCTAAATCAGTTTTGTAACCAGACAGACATCCCAGAAATGCAGGCATATGCCTGCAGTGGCTAAGGCTAGAAGCAGGGGGTGGGGGGGAGGGGGATGCTAGAGCAGCCCTCCTTTCCCTTCCCTTCCAACAACCCAGCAGGGAATGTTTATCACCCCTAACTCAATGTTTATCAGCCCATTAAGAAAACAACAGAGGGACATTACCAGTTATCTGTTGATTCTGCCTTTGTCCCGTGTGTCACAACTTGAAGGTAGCCAGCATGTGGTCTCCTAGCTAATGCAGAAGTGTCTGTGAGGGACAGGGGAATGCCTTCTTAGCAGAGAGTGGGGAGGGCAGGTAGGGAGCAGAAGCCAGGCAGATGCCTGCAGAGACTGCTGGGGCTGCAGCCACGGAGCAGAGGGGAGGGGCCACCCCTGCTGTGGAGCAGAGAGCCTGCCCAGCCCAGTGAGCATGCTGGGATGCTGGGGGAGTCTAATTTAATTTAAACCAGCAAGGGGTCTGGGACAGACATTGCATAAACTGGTTTGAGCCAAATCAGTTAAGTCTGATACTACATTCAACCAGGTTTATCTCAAACCAATTTCAGCCGTTCTCAAACTGGTTTATGTGCACTGAACATCTGTTCTGTTATCCGTTTAAACAAGTTTCTGATCACTTAAACCGGTTTATGCGTAATGTCTGCCCTTAGCCTGGGAGTAGTGGCAATGCATACTTAGCAATGTACAGTTATTTGTATGAGCATGTAAGTCCTAGTTTTGAAACAGCAATGGATTAATTTAAAAACATTAAGAAGCATTTTTTTACCATAAATAAATAAGTATAGTCTAGCTTTCATGGTGATTAGCAGCTTCACGACAGTGCAGATGAATGAATGAAAAAGAAGAATGCAAAGTATTAGAACACCTGAATGCTTCAGTCAATGCAGAAGGATTGATTTTATTTGGCTGCGCTAGTTTCTACAGACTAATTCAAGGAAGTTGTCTATTTAAAAGAAATCCTAATATTCTTTAAAAAAAAAAAATCAGTAAAAGCATAAATAACAATGATCTGCCCAATGAATGGTGGGGAGGAAAGAAAGGGGAAGTTTGATGACTTCCTTTTGTGTCAGCATTTTTGAGTGAATATAACAAAATAAATTATGAAGTAGCTGGTTTGACAGAAACCTAACTGAAATTTAACATGTTGGAGATAAGTGAAACATTCAGTTTAACAATTTAAGATTTATTTCTGGGGGCATAACAGTTTGAAAGAAAAAACCTCTGAAGGGCAAGATTGTAATTACAGATGCAGAGCCATTGGTTGTATCTTAAAAAAAAAAAAACCCCAAGAAAAAGAATAACCATAGAACTGGTAGAGATGCAAGACATATAGTGAAGATACGAATCTGGATGATATTATTATTATATGAGAAACTGATTAAATCAGTACTAGATTATGTGTCAAGCATTTGAAGTGGCAAATAAATTTAAGTTTAAAAAACTAGACATCATTCAGGATGAAGTTTTAGAAGTATGTTACAGCATATAATCTACATCATGAACCAATATTTTACAAATACCCTCTGGAGAGATGTACTCAGATTTCAGAAAGACGACACTTTTGTATTCAGTTCTGAAATTAATTTAAATTCATGGGGGGAGTAGTAGATATGCTGGAGTGTAGGGCTAGGATTCAGAGTGACCTAGTCAAATTGGAGGACTGGGCCAAAAGGAATCTCATGAAGTTCAACAAGGACAAGTACAAAGTCCTGTACTTAGAATGGAACAATCCCCTGCACCAGTACAGGCTGGGCAGCAACTCTGCAGATAAGGACCTGGGGGTTACAGTGGACAATAAACTGAATATAAGCCAGCAGTGTGCCCTTGTTGCCAAGAAGGCTAATGGCATATTGGGCTGCACTGGTAGCTGTATTGCCAGTAGGTCAAGGGAAGTGATTATTCTCCTCTGTTCTGCACTGGTGAGGCCACATCTGGAGTTCAGTTCTGAGCCCTCCACTACAGAAACACTGTGGACAAATTAGAAAGAATCCAGCAGAGGGCAACAAAAATGGTGAGGGGGCTGGGGGACATGACTTAAGAGGATAGGCTGAGGGAACTGGGCTTATTTAGTCTAGAGAAGAGGAGACAGAGGGGATTTAATAGCAGCCTCCAACTACCTGAAAGGTGGGGGGGCGGTTCGAAAGAAGATGGAGCTAAACTGTTCTCAGCGGTGGCAGATGACAGAACAAGAAGCAATGGTCTCAAAATTGCAGCAAGGGAAGTTTAGCTTAGATATTAGGAATAATTTTCTCACTAGGAGGGTAGTAAAACACTGGAACAGGTTACCCAGAGAGGTTGTGGAAGCTCCATCCTTGGGTGTTTTCAAAACCTGGCTAGACAAAGCCTTGGCTGGGATGATCTAGTTGGGGATGGTCCTGCTTTGAGCAGGTGACTTCATGAGGTTCCTTCCAAACCTAGCTTTCTATGATTCTATGACTCAATCCTCAGCTTCAGCAGCACAAACCACTAGGTAGGTACCCTAGAAAAGTATGACCACCAATCCACCCTGAAATCCTTGACAACAAAACTGGATTGGTTGTTAGTTTTAACCCACACTTACTATGGAGGGACAGACATAGGAACTGCCAGGGACAAGGATGAGAACAAGCTACTGTTGCAAGCTCATGGTGCATTATAGGACTGTTACAGCCAACATAACTCATAGCAACCTTTAGCCTGTGCAAAAACATACCACAAGCCATTTCAGCGCTTAGGATCAAAGGAGCACAAGAATGCCTTAAAACATTTATACTGCACTTAGAAGTGTGACTGCAGCATGTAAGGGAATGCACAAGGTGCTTTAATCTAGCTAGCTTTGATATCAGTGAAACAAAATGGCTGCCTCAAAGACTCCAGTACATACCATTCAAGCTTATCTGAGATCCTGATTATTTACACAAGCAACTAGACTATGCTACTGCATTTTCTCTGCTTTTTATATCCAAGCTAGATTAGACATATCAGAAGTCACTGTCCTCTCACCCCAGTTGCACCAAATATTACATACCAAAGATGAGGATTGAGTCCTCAGGACTTTTCAGATATAATTAGAGAATCACGAATGAAAGAAAATACTGGTATGATAGTTTTGTGAAAAGGGAGTATATTAAGAAAGGTCTGATACTTCATTCTTAAAACACAAGTTATAATTTTTCAAAATGAGTATGAATCTATTGTTATGATTATTTAGGCAAAGAAATAAATCAAATGTCAATTTCTTTTAAAACTTAGAAAGCACATTTATCAGAATTTGTAAAGCTGAATTATCCCAAGAGTTTTCTCCTCTTCTTCTCCCTCCTCACACCCCTTGCTTTGTCTTTCAGTTAGAGCTTCTAACTAGACCTGTCCTCAGCCTACATTCTGCTCGGCTTCCTACTACAGCTTCAAAGAAATGGTACTGATCCTCACTGGGGTCATAATGAAGGACCTGTTCTTGCAGCTTTTATTCAGCTGAAATATCCAGTGATTTTAATTCACCACGAATATGGTCTGTAGAATCTAGTCTGAAAAGGACAAAAGTCATTGGAAATAATTTTCAAATGTCAAATGCTTCAGGCATTGTTTTGTATCCTGGCTAACCTTTATTTTCTTATTGTAGTTCAAATAGCTAGACTAATGCATGCACTAGGATTACTGTGCAGATCAAAATGCAATAGACTGAGTGCTAGTCTAAAAGCAACCTTTGTATACCCAACTGGGCTCTCCAAGGAGGTGAGATGAAAGAAAAGCAACATTGTTCTTCATACCAAAGATAAAGGACCAGATATATATATATATATATATATATATATATATATATATATACACCATTTTGCCTATCGAAAAATCTGATACAGTACAGGCATGGAAGTATTCACATATCTAATAAGATTAAAATGAAACCCATCTTGGCTAGGCCATATGACAATTTTTCTGGTTTGGTAATTTTTCAACAGAAATTCTAGGAATTTACATCAAATCTTTGAAGTAAAATCTTATCTGTTTTATATGTACCAATAAAAACACAAAATAATTTTGAGGATATCCCTTGACCTGCCTTTTTTCTTCTGGGGAAAATTCCTTGGGACATGAGACAGAATGCCACAGGAGTGGAACACCTTCCTTCTGTGAGCACAGGATTACCTTTATACACAAATGTGGAATGGACAAGGGCCTTCTAAATGCTCTGCCTGTCTGAACTGTAATTTTGTGGCACTACCACAAACAGAAACCTTGTCCCACATTTCCCGGTACTATATGCCTTGACAAATAAGGTCTCCTTCCCAGTTAATTCTCTCAGGAAAAAAACCCAAACAAACTGGTATAATGCGTTTCCTAATCAAAAGTAATGATTTGCAATTCCAATATGCACTAGCAGGTCAAAAGTTTATACTTTAATAACCTCAATTTTACCTAGATTCTTACCAGTCATTTCCCTTTTACTCCTTACCTCACCTGTCCCACTTCTCTTGGTTGGGAGACAGGGCACAAAAGTGGAATTTGGGAGACCTGGATTCTTTTCCTGGCTTTGCTTCTGCCTATTTTTGTCTTACTTGGACAAGTCCCTGCTCCTTAGGTTCTCCCTCTGCTACCTACCTTTGCAAAGTGCTTTGAGATCTACAGATACAAAGATTTAAATATTATTTAAATGGTATAACCTATAATGCATTTAATCACCATAGTAATTAGCTATGGTAGCTCTCCTTACATTTTTGAAAGTGATGAAGTACAGCTTTAAGAAATGTAGATTTTTGTTTACTGCATACTTTAAAGGCTGGTTTAAAAGGTCACAGTTAAAGCTGGTAAATTACAAAATTCTCTGCCTGTCTGACAGATGACTGAAGTTTAGGTTTAACATTTGCATTTTATGTGCATCATTTTAATTTCAAAATCAGAATAAGCTGCTTGTTTATTCTTTCCCTTGTAATTTATAGGAAAGGTTTAGTTTTCAAGCAGAGCTATAACGTCAAGGAAGAATCTTTCAGCACCACCCCTGTATTTTCATTAATTTAGTATCTGGGTACCTTTAGATGACTATATACCATTCACAAGGACCACTGCAGGACTGGTTCCTAGGAAAGCAGACCAATAACAAGAAAAATCTGTTTGCACTACTGTTTCCAATCTATTATTTTATCAAGGTCAGATTTACAGGCAATTCTCTATCTTGATAATTTTAGAAATGTAGTTATGTTTAAAAAACTTGTATAAGTTTGGATGAACTCTCACTTAGTTCATCCAAGCATACTAATTTAACTTGTATAAGTTTGGATGAACTCTCACTTAGTTCATCCAAGCATACTAATTTAACATTTGACTAGTCCCCATTTCCAGAGGTTGGTCCCCCTTTGAAAACGGATAGAGAATCAAAACCCACTGGACAGTCTGACAGCCAAATCTGTGGCAGTATTGCAAAGAAATATTTTATGCCCCATGAATTAACACAAATCTGAAAAAATACTATGACTATATACAAAAATTACATTTCTATTTTTATACTTACCAAGCAAAGCAAAATGTGTATAATTGTAAATAGCGTAGTATTCTTCATGAGCAATAATAGGACATCAGATCTTTCTTGCTTCCTCTGCAGTTTACATTTACATAAAGGTAGTAAGTGAATGTGGAGTTTTATTCAAGCAATACTCCCTTTGAAAGAAACAGGAGTTCTGCCTGAGTAAAAAGTGCAGGGTCAGGCTCTTTTCATATTAAGTAATGCCCAATATTATATAAAAGAACAGACCAAACAGCTACAAAAACATTAATCCATTACCACAGAAGACACAAGTTCTAACCTGTTCTCAGTATCGGCACTGCATTTTGGAGACATCAGCTCAAATGATTTTGTAAATTTCACCACCTGTTATAAAAATATATATTAATTTTTATATTGGAATATATCATCTTACATTTTAACATTTTTACAGTCACCTTAGACTAAATGTTCAATGTAAAATACACACACAAAAATATTTTGGAATATTCACATATTCCAAAATATACATTGTAAATCACAGAAAAGCAACTATAATAATTGATATTTTCTTAATATTCCTTTTAGAAGCTATATTTTTCCTACAATCAATTTACCACCATATGGCTGCCATTGGGCATATCTACACATACCCACCATATGGCTGCCATTGGGCATATCTACAAATTTGTTAATGTGCTTTAGTTAATGCGCAATAAATCTAGTACCTTCACTGAGGGTGCCTATACATGTGCAGCAAGGCTGCTCCAATGTGCTGTAATTACAGTGTGTCAGAGCAGACTCAATTAATTGAGTCTGCTTGGGCGTGGTAATTACTGCACTCTAGCAGATTCCAGCATTATATGTATCAGCATCTGTGCACTGAAAAAAGGTGGCGGGGGCGCTTTAACTAAAGCTCGTTCAAAAAGCTTTAGTTAAAGCACCCCTGCTGTCATTTTTCAGTGCGGGAATGCTGATACACGTGACACTCTAGGTGTTTTAATTAGACTGGCTCTCAGATCTTCATCTCTATGTTGCCATAGCATACTGTGTAGTGACGTAGCATGTCGCTATGTCACTGTACAGCAACGTGTAGATGTGCCCACTAACTCTGAAAGATAATTTGTTTTAGGCTCATTGGACAGGTCTAAATTATGAGAGAATCACCAGTGGGTTTTTCTGTTTGTAGGGTAGGAAGATTATTATCTTTCCTAAAAAAGATGGCTAAGAATCTAATCTCACTTATACCATTGTCTATTCAGTGACTTGAATGGAGTGACCTCTATTTTATGCAAAGGGGGACCAACCTCTTTTTGCAAAGCACTTTGCAAACTCCAAAAGGAAGTACTAAAGCTCGACGCTGTAGCAACATCGCCATACAGCCACGTGTAGACATGCCCAGTGAGTCCAAAGATAATTTTCTCTTACCACATGTTTTTTACCATCCTACTCTTTCTGGAAGTAGGGCACAGTCCAGGGACTATTTGATTGAGTAGGCTCAACACTTCAAAGAGCTATATATAAAGACAGTCAATTCCCTTAATTAAATAAAAAGGTGAACATCCTTAAAGAAGGATTCATTTACATGATTCATCCAAATGTTCATTCAAAGGTTTTGTTCACCACTTAGGCCAGAACAATCAAATGTAAATTAAGGAATGGCTGGCTGGGTTTCAGTACTGCAGGAAAGGGTCTGGAGTTATTGTGGACCACAAACTGCAGGAGTAAACAGCAAAAATCCCAATAGCATACTGGGTTGCATTTACAGGAATACAGTGTGCAAGTCAAGGGAAATGATTCTTTCACTTAATTCAGCACTGGTGAGGCCTCACCTAGAGTCATGTGTCCAGTTTGGGCACCACACTTTAGGAAAGACATAGATAAATTAAAAAGAGCACAATCAAAGTGATCAGACATTCAAGAAAAGAGAATTTACAAGGAAATGTTGGAAGAACTGGGAAAGGTGTGTGTTGGAGGAAGAGATTTGATAACTCTTCAAATACAGGAACAGTGGTTATTCGAGAGGATGATGATGAACTATACTTTGACTAGAGAGAACAGGACAAGAAGTAACAGTCTTAAGTTGCAACAAAGGAAACATAGATTGGATATTAGGAAGAATTTCTAACTATGAGTGAGGTTAAGCATTGGAACAGGTTACCTGGAGAGGGTGTGGAATTTCTATCCTTGGAAGTTTTAGGGAGCAGGCCAGACAAACACACTTGTCTGGATTGGTTTAGACAGGGATGATGCTTCCTTGAGCACAGGGTTGGACTAAATGACTTTCTGAGGTCCCCTCTAGCCCTATCTGCAGGTTTGAAATAGTGCAAGAAACCAAATTCTTGATAAGGATTTCTACATTATTAACATGGCTTTGTTGCAGAGCAATTATTCTCTAGTCAGAAGGACAGAATATCCCCCATTACATCATCCTTTCTTGGTATCTGAACCACAGATAAACTCCACTGGGCTTCTATTTTATTACACAGGGAACCTTGTGGACAGAACAGAGGAAGGCAGATGAGAATAAAGATGGAATATCTCTACAGCATGCCCCTGCTACAAATCTGGGACAGAACACCTGGAAATTAATTATCGTATCTTGGTTGAGAGAACTTTTTTCTCCATGCAAAAGCCTCTGCTAACCCCAGGTACTCAGGCAGAGATGAGAGGTGAGAGAGGGGTGCCACTGAGGAAAAGGGAAGGGATCACTCGCACAAATTTCACCCTATGACAATACTGAAGTGCCACAGAGCAAAGACAGATTCTCTTGGTTTCTTTGCAACACTCCAGCAGAACAACATGGTCAAATTCCGATCTGAGACAGCCAGTAGAGAATTCCCATTGCACAGGGGAAGAAAGCTTTTCCCTTCAAGTGCTTTTTTGGGTCAAGAAACATATTTTCTTCCTCTGTTACGGATCAGAGGTTTTTTGCATGGATAAACTTAAGCTTCACATACAACTGAAAAAATACAGGAGTGTCCCAATAATGGTGAAAATTGCTTTCCCTGTGCAATGCCAGAGCTACCTTCTATCATAAAAGCTAAACAGACTAGATATTTGTATTCGTATGTCTTTTATTTTTCACCGGATTTTCTATTGCCTGAGAGACCAATTAATTGGTCAAAATAACAAGAAGTCTGGTCTTTTCACAATATTTCCACTATGTGGGAACTAAGACTAGTTCTCTTGTTACTTTAGTCTCCTAAATGGTTCCCTATAGTATTAAAAAAACCTTATTAACAGCGTGAGCATAAAAATACAAATACTAGATCCTACATACACCTCCATCAATAGTATGTGCAGGAAGGGCCACATTCTGTAAGGAAATAAGCAACAAAGACAGTTGAGGAAGCTCAGCATATTACAGATTTAGCCCCTAACAGCAGATTTCACCTGCCATCAATTAGCTGCATGTTGGTTAATTAAGCATTGAAGGGTGCTGGTTCTACTTTTCCTTTCACTTACACCACTATAACTCCTCATTTCCGTTTTCTATAAGCAAAAAGAGAATCAGGCATATGTATATATTAAGAGAACAGAATGGTTTGCTTGGAAATCCTTGGCAAATTTATTTGCTGTTATTTTGGAGGGACCAGATTTGTGTTTAATAGTAATTTTCACACTGAACCAAAATGTTATATATTTGAATTAAAAAATCATAAAGATTCAGACATATATCTGTGAACTTACATTTGAACAAAAATAAAAGTTGCAGAAGAAAAACCCCCTGTAAAAATACCTATGTAGTTATTCAGTGTCTGTTTGCTGACACTGCATAAAGGAAGAACTAGATTCTAAAAACTGCTTATAAAGGAACTGGGTTATGGGTCTTTGGAACTGATTCTATATAATGAAGTTGTTTTTAAGAACCTACCAGTGGGTAAGATGTATAAATTACCATTTTAGCAGAAAGTTTCAGGAAGATGATACTAAAAAACAAGAGTGTCCCCCTAAAATATGAGTGCCGTGTGGGGGAAAAGAATACATATAAATTCTTTTTTCCTTTTTTTTTAATAGGCACTGAAAAGTAGCGCTTTCCTTCACAGTTACATGATCCCCTAGCTGCTCTATAAACCCTGTTTCATTCACACAGGCAAGAGGACCATACAACTTAAGGTGGATCATTTTCTGTATCACCAATTCCATCAGGAACTCATGAGTTCAGTTTGTGCCATCAGGTGACCAGAAGACACTTTGAAAGAAATATCAATAAAAAAATAAAGTGCATATCACTTCAAGTAGGAACTATGGGCATGTCCCCACAAGCGGAAACGTGTGTTTCCCCAGGGACAAACAGCAGTGACACAATGTATGCTGCTGCTATTTGTCCCTGGGGAACACCTGTGCCGTGGGTGGGGCAGGAAAGGCTGGGGCCAGTAACTGTGCTGGCCCCCAGCAGCTTAAACTGGGGTCATGGGGGCCTCCAGAAGCTGCAGCCCTGGCACTCCTGCAGAGAGGAGCTTGGATGGCAGCTGAAGTGTGGCTCCAATCGGCCAGCTCCAGCTTTGGGCGGTGTGTGCTGCCACCATGTGCGCCACCCCACTTATTTTAGGCATGGGTTTTTTTAACCCTGGGAACAAAAACCCACTCTGCACTGCAAATTAGCAGTGTGGGAAATGCCTGCATGTGCAGCATGTGTGGTGTGCAGAGCCACAGGTGGGTAGGTGGTGCCACATGATGCATGTCCACACTTGCCTGGATGCACCCTCTATATTAAAAATAATTCTCTGCGAAGTACTTACATGTTATATGCAACAGTTTCAGGTCAATACAAAGATACATTACATGACTTATGTATTAGACCTTTAATAACATTTGAAGGACCACTTACTGGTGATTCAATGTCCTCCAGAAGTAACACTGAGCAGCGTTCACACTTCAACAGAGTCTGGGCCCGGTGCATGATTTTCTTGACAATTTTCTCTAAGTCTGTCTGTTCTTCAAAGAGATCATTAACCACCTCCAGCAAAGCCTGCATAAGATGTATGTATATATTTTTTGTTATAGAAATATTTATCTATTTATTTGTAAAGATATGCAAGCTTGCTGATCTCAGTTACAATAAAGTAAATCAAGAGTAATTCCTAAGTCTTCATTTAAACAAAATTCTCACCGACTTCTGTGTCAGCTGACTTAATGGAATTTTTCCCTATGGAAGGGATGAGTAAGAACTACTCATTTTGCCTCAATGGTACAATCCAACTTCAATTAAGCCAATGGGAATTTTTCCTTTTATTTCAATGGATATTGGATGGACTCCAAAGGGAGATCATCTTAAGGTTTCACAAGAATGTTCAGATTTCAAGGTCCTTCAAGGCAGTATGGAAAACTTTTTAATAAAAAGTGCACAGATGCTAAAGTTTGGTTTAGTTTCACTTGACTGAGGTTTGCTTTCTAATATCGGATGATGACCTTAAAACAGTAATACTGGCTCTCTGGCTTTTTTCATTTATTTTAAAATATATATTACATTTTCAGAGTTAGAGAGAAAAAGTATTAAAACAATTTTATCTGACTGACCCTAAATTTAACTAAAATTTAATGTTGATAAATACAATGTGAACACTTTTTTCCAAATCAAAAACAGGTATAAGACATCAGACAAATAAAACAATTCCACGTGTACCCTGAGGCTAAGGGGATATCTGAAGGTTCCCTGAAAGATAAAAATCCCATCAGGCTAGATGCTCAGCTTGCATAAATTGGAACAGCTCCCTTGAGGATACAATGTGCTAATTTATACCCTCTGAAGATATTTTACCCCATCAGGTTTGTGCCTATTTTCTTCATTATGAGGTTTAAAAGTTGCATGAATTATTTTAAGATCTTTCAAATCCAAGTACCTTTATACCAATTTTGCTAAAATTGATCATTTACCAATTTCAGAGTGTGTGGGTGTGTGTGTGTAAAGTGTATCCATATTACTAAACTTAAAAAATCTTAGCTGTCAGAACCCTGCTAATGAGAAAGTGAGGTCTAAAAGGAGAAAATCTTGATTTTCATAGGTTACAGTTCAAATCATTCACATGTCTCTGTGTTAGCTGATTTAGAGGCTGCTCTGTCTTGCCAAATCAAATTAAAGAGGTCTATATTTGCAAGACAAATTGAATTACTTCCCATATAAAAAAAATAACAAAACAGTCAATTTGACAATAGGGATGATATCAGAACTAGCTTGTTTGAATGTCTATGAAATGTTTTGTTAGGCAAACTTTTCTTTAAATAGCACATACAGCTTGAGCTGGAAGCAAAACAAAAAAACAGCCCTCAAATTTCACCCAATTTAAATGGGGTATCCAATGGAATGGAATGCCTTGAAGAAAGAAATAGGTAATAAAAGCAATCTATCAACATTTTAAATATAATAACAAGGGATCTTTGTTTTCTCTGTTTAAAAATTCCAAATTCTATGATTAAAACCTGCAAAATCCGTGTTTTTGCACAATTAATAGAGAGAGAGAGAGAGAGAGAGAGATCAATTGAACACAGTGTTTTATTGATATATTTACAATTTTAAAGCAATTTGGAAGCCTACCAGTGCCTCCATCACTATAATAAAATAAATTCTAAATACCCATAAATTTTGGTATTTGATTTTGTGTTTATCATGGACATTCGGAGCTCCCCTTGCCCCCTTTGCTCTCAGAACGCCGGTCCAAGCACCTCACTCTCTACCAGTATTCCCTCTAAGTTGCGCGCATGCGCAGCTGCGCACAATTAAAAGTCTTGCCATGAACGAACTTTTGCCTGCCGCGCACTCGCTCACAGAAGAGCCAGGCACGGAGCACAGCAGAGGCACCAGGGCTGGCGTGGGACACTTAGGTAAGCTCCTCAATGCAGGGCAGGCAGCAGCTCCTCCCTGAGACAGGGACGGGGGCAGGGGCTGGAGTCTGGCACAGGCTCCACCAGCTCCTGGGGACTGCTCCACACCCCCGCACTGCCTCGGGGAGCGAGGAGGCACATGGTGTTAGGGCTGGAGAGTGGAGCAGTTCCCCGGAGCCGGAGGAGCCCACGGAGCACTGCTCACTAGCTACTAATGGAAAAAATATTGAGCTCTGCAGCAAGCTGTTAGGGAAACAGAAGCCCTAACAGACCGCTAAATGGAACAGATAAACGTTTGACTGTTGGTTATATTTTTAGTTTTGACTAAAAATACTTCTCTTCAAAATCATTGTCTGTTCCTCACATCATAGATTCTCTTTGGCACTTTACCCCATAATAGGGGGAGGAGGGGAGAGGGAAGACACCATGCCGTAGCAAGGTGGGGGCAAGCAGGACGATTGCCCTGGGTGTTGAAGCGAAGGGGTGCTAACAGGCGCTGCCCAGCCAGTGTGGGGCATGGGATGGAGCCGTGAGCAATTCATTTGTGGGGCACGGGGATGCGGAGAGGGCGGCTCCCGCCACTGTGTGCATGGGCAAGCATGGGGGGAACTGCTCCATGGGCTCCACCAGCTCCGAAGCAGCACGCTCATGGACCGAAGCAGCGCGCTCACAGACCGCTACTCCTTAGAGGGAACACTGCTCTCTACCCCCAAGCCCCTGGCCTTGATGGTGCCCCTCACTTCCCTCCCACAACCTCCTGGCCCTGATGCCCCTCACTCCCACCTCTTACAGCCCCCCAACCCTGATGGTTCCCCTTGTCCCCAACCCACAGCCCCCTACTCCCCCAGGCCTGCCAGAGGAGGCCCCCAGCTGCCAGAGCTATGGGACCAGGGACCCAGGTCCGCAGCCCCCTGTTCCCCACAGCAGTACCTGAGCCCCACCTGCTGCCCATGAGATGTGGTGGCTGCTGCAACCTGAGCGAGGAGCAGAGCACAGAACCTGGTTCCCTCCCAACTTTGGAGGCCGCACAGCCTGAGCGGAGCCCATGGTGGGGAGTGCAGGCTGCCTGCTGAGGGGCTCAGGAAGGAGGGTGGCTCCCCACTGCTTCATGCACTTCCGGGGAGCAGGGGGGACCTGTGTCCCCCACATCTGTGCACGGGGTGGGGATGGATGTGGGGGTGGGCTGCCCACTGTGGGCTCATGCTCCCCACCCTGCTGCCTTCCCCCATAGCCTCTCCAGCCCAGTAAGCAGGACCTGGTGCAACAGGGCAGAGTGGGGCTGGGCGGGGAAGCCGCTTGCCACTGCAAGCTCCACGCTGCCCTAGCACCGTGCCCCCTGCCCGCCCTGCAGCAGCGAGGGGAACAACCCTACACTGCTGCCCCTGCTGTTGCTGGGCAGGCAGGGGATGCCTTGCCAGGGCAACATGAGGCTTGCAGAGGCAAGGAGGTTCTCCACCTGGCCCCACTCTGCCCTGCTGCACCAGGTCCCACCTGCTGGGCCGCAGAGGCTCTGGGGGGGGCAGCAGGGTGGAGATCCTGGGCGTACAGCAGGCAGCCCACCCCTGCACTTGCCCCATGCAGAGATCTGGGGGACATGGGTCCCCCTGCCCCGCCCGGGAGTTCACAAAGTGGCAGGCAGCCAGCTGTCCCTCTCTCACCCCCCACTAATGAGCTGTCCATAGCCCGGTTCTGCTTCTCACTGGGGCCCTATGGCCGTGCATTCTGGCCCCAGACCCCAAGCCTCACATACTGTCCAGCTGGGCAGCAGCCCCAACCCTGTGCAACTCACTCCCTCCCTCCCCATACTCCCTATGGGGGCCTCAATGCCCGCTCCTCCCTCACCAGACTTACCTGCGAGAGCTTCTCCCCAGGCTACCTGGTCGCCATGTGCATATACATAAACTCTGCCAGCCTGTAAAAAGCTCTTTTCAAAACTGCAAAATCCATGTGTTTCTCCATTAAAATGAAAAATCTGCATTTTTCTTGGGTAAAAGGGATAATCTGCATTTTTTTTCCGTTTTTCTATAAGAAATGGAAAACCCAGATCCCTGCTCATAACCCTCCAAATTATAGACTAGAGCTCAAAACTGTGGGGAAGGGGAGATTCCTAATGTTTCAACTGGGACACAAAACACAAGTTTTCAAATCATGGCCAATAATGAGGTAACAAATCTTAAAATTATGTTACAACATATAGCAAGGGTATCAGACTCATTTGACCCCACAGGCTGGATCTGGCCCACAGGGCTTCTTGTGGACAAGATTACCAACCTCTTGTAGTAGAGTGAGCGGCAGCAGCTTTAATCCCTGCTGGTGCTGGTGCCAGCACCAAATTTCTGGCCTATTGGGTTGGATCCAAAGGTCCAGATCACACGAAGCCCCCGGTTAAGGCAATTTTTAGAAGTTTATGAGACCTATTCATTATGACTTCTACAAAGCAAGTGTAGTTGGAGAATACATGGTGTAAAATTTTGGCCTCACTAAAGTCAAAGGATGATCTGATCCAAGGTAACAAAGATCCACCTTCACAAAAAGGCAGATTAAAAAATCAAAGCAAAACATAGTACCAATGCAATAAATGTGAACTCTCTAGAGCATTTCCATAGCAATTTTTATTTAAGAAAATGTACAGGCTATAGGATGGTGAGTTTTATTTAAGAAAATGTACAGGCTATAGGATGGGGAGAATTAAAAGTTACAGTTTTAAGTCTCTGGAATAACTTGTATTAACTCTTCAATGGCAGCTACAAACATGAGTTATGCATTCCTCTAGATAAACTATAATAAGTACTCGGGTACTTGCGAATACCCATTTTCATAGATACGTATCAACCTTATTTTGTAGGTTTTTTATAAATCCTAGATGCTAGATGTTTGATATTTTGGAGATTTAAAAAAGTTTTGAATTCATGGAAATGTAATTCTTTCATGTTGTAAACACACCCATATCAACAAAATAACAACATGAAACTGACAACAGGAAATAATAGTTTTCAACAACAGCATATTTAGTTATTCCTTTCTAAACTTAATATCTGAAGAAAATGTATCTTCTATAGTAAAAGTGTTTGGATTATTTTGAAATATAACATGTTTGTTTCATTAAAACAGCCTGTTTTGCAAATATTTATGCATAGCTAGAATTTGAGAGGGAAAAAGATGTGACAGCGTTTCATAGCTGTCCAAGGTGTTGCTTTCTACTTACTCTGCTTCTGTCATATTCCTTTCTTGAAGCAGCAAATAGCTGGGCATTAGATATGGCAATTCCACAGAATGGGAGATACATCTGCATCACCTAGGACAAAGATAAATATGAAGTCATTAAGAAATGCTATTGAAATACAGAACCCCTAATTCTCGTTACGAAACCTGAGGACAGTCAACACTTCACAAAAGATGTTCAGCGCCCTTACAGTCTTTCATACAAAACCAAAACAATGCAAAATAATGATTGGCTTGTGGTGATTGAGTAGAAAAGAGGCAACACAAAAGTTTGCCCTTAAACCAAACAAGAACCCAAACTATTTGGGTTTATGAATCCAATAAATTCATTGCAGTGTTCTCAGCAAGACTGAAATCTCTGTTATGAAAAAGACTGTATAAAAATACTAGAGTTTCCCCAATTCAAAGGAATTGTTCCTACTGGATTCTACTATTTGTGTTTTGGTAATCCCCAAAACATGCAATGCCATCAGAAGATGACAAGATCAGTACAGACTGATGCTCCTATTGAGTTTCCTTAATAATGGACTTGGTAGTGTGGAATCAAAAAAAATATATGCCTTAAACTTTGACTATTTTAGTTATAAGATGACATAACCGCTTTGTGGAGAATTGCTGGCTCTGTATAGTAGAACAGATAAGAGAAAGTGTTTGTTCTTTGTAACTCCTCTGCAACTGCTTCGCTCACCGCGGCCTTGAAGATAACAAAAAGTATGTACAACTCTGATTTGCAGGTGCAAAAAGGAGGTTTGTGAACTAACCTCGCCTCCCCCATTAGTTCCCATCCTGATTACAACAAAGAAATAATAAAATAACATTATAGCCGCTTTTCATACTAATTTCACTATATGATCACGTGAGTTGTAAGCAACTGTTAAAAAGTATATAAGCCTCCTGATTTTGCTTTTGGGGGGGACCCCTTCCAAGTGCTTGGAAAATCCATGTCACTTTAGAATCCCCCCTACAGCTGTAGTTTCTTTTAAATAAAAGCTTCTGCTGACCTGACCCAAAAATATGCTGCGTGTGTTTCCACGACAATTCCTGGTGCCGTGACTCGGATCCAGAACACAGGCTGAGAAAGGAGGACCGCAGACTGCCCCCCCCGAACCCCGAGGCGCCAAACTTGAGAGGTAAGAGACCTAATTCAAAATCTCTATTGGGGTTTCGGAGGAGGACTGCCTGTAGGCTCCCAACTTGGCCGTGGTAACTGGATCTGAACCTTGTTAAACCAGGTCAGTCTGAACCTTACTGCCGGCTAAAATTTTCTGTCTGGTAAAGGATCCCATTTTGTGTCTGGTAACGTACGTTTTATTTAGGGAGAAACTGTATGAAGCACCTTCATCCTACAGCACATCGGGCTTGTCGTTAATTAACTAAGGCGGTGTGGGGGAGGAGGTCTGGCTGACTGAATGAATGTGCATGTGTGTGTATTTAGAAATATGAGCCACTGACCAGGTCTGAGACTACGGTTGGGTTCAGCCGCCCCAATTCTGCCTGACAGGGCAGTTTTGAAAGCAAGGGGGCCCAACTGGAACCTCGTGACCCAGTGGACAGGGCTTCCCAGTGATTGAATAAATGTGTGTGTGTGCATTTAGAAAAATGAGCCACTGACCAGGTCTGGGACTAAGGCTGGGTCTAGCCGCCCCGATTCTGCCTAAAAAAGGTAGCGTCGAAAGCAAGGGGGCCCAGCTGAAACCTCGTGACCCAGTGGACAGGGCGTCTGAGTGATTTTGTCTTTTCCAAACCCCTTGTCCCAGTAGCTTCTGCCGAGAGCAGGAGTGAAAGGATTCCTCTTGTGTTTCCCATTCCCATTTCCATTTTATGAGCCGGTGTCGGGTCAGAAGCCTTTTGTCTGGGCAGTGAAAAACTGCGGGGCAAGGCACTGAGCGGCCCGGACATCCTAAATAAGCCTCTCCTACGTCTCCCTGTGTGACTGAAAATGGGAACGAGTCAGTCTAAACAAGTTCCCGTCCCCCCTAAGGGGACTCCGGCGTACTTTATGTACACACACTATTCTCCCGAGGCTTGCAAGTACCTGGATAAGTGGAACTGGTATACTAGGGATGATCCTGTGAAGCATTTTCCACAAGAAGGAACATTTGATCAGGATAAAATAGTGCACTTAAGAGGGGCTTTAGAGTCCCGTGGATCCAAAACACCACAAAACCAGTGGGACGCGTTCTTTTATTGGTATGATGAAATGTCCAAAAGGCGGACAGAATCTCAAACTAGGAGCCTAAAAGACTCTCAAGAAAAATTAAAACAGCAGTTACAAGCTGTTCGGGAGAAATTGGCTGCTCCCCCAAATTACACGCCGGCCACCGCTCCGATGTATCCAGCATTGCCCGGGGCGCCCCCACCACCGGAGCCAGCAGAGGATATCCTTGACCTTTGTTCGAACCCTGCTCTCCTGGGACTCCCACATCAGCAACAACCGGTTCAACATCAGGCTGCAGCCCAGGCTAGTAACTCATTAGCTGAAGCTCCTTCAGTAAATCCATCCACGGAGCTTAATAGTCTGGACTCATCCACCATATCTGCCACTCAATCATCACCAGTGTGGCAATTTACTCCTGGGTCACAACCCACCACAGGTGTATTTAGAAGAATGGGAATAGGCATGGAAAGATCTCCCATCAATCTTAGATCCCGAGCTGCACAAGTTTACCCCCTAAGACAAATGCCAGGCATTGGCACCGATGGACAAAATATAGTAACCGTGCATGCACCCTGGACTCCAGGTGATCTCTACAATTTAACTCAAAAATTCCCCAAAATCAGGGAAGACCCAGAAAAATTTCAGGAAGAATTGCAGACTGTTATAAATTGTTATAATCCAACATGGGCTGACATTAATCAGCTCATGCGATCGATTTTGCCCAAGGAAACTATGCTACGTCTGTATGCTGCCTGTACTTGGCCAGATCAAAACCCAGGGATTGGCCAAGACTTTATTGACAAGAGAAATGCTTTGGTTCAGGCAGTTCTCACAATTTGCCCAAAAAAGGCAGACTGGACCAAAATAAATACCTGTAAACAAAACAAAAATGAACACCCCAGTGACTATTTGGAACGCCTCAAACAGGCATTTGAACGATACTCAGGAATGGATAACCCAGTCGGAAATGCTAAACAAGCAATAGTGGCAGCATTCATCCAGGGACTTAACCCTAAAATTGCTGAGAAAATTCAAACAGTAATTATTGGCTGGGAAACTAAAGATTTGACTGAAGTCCTTGCTGCGGCTAACCATTTTCATAACAAATTGGAACGGTCTAAAGACAATGCCGAGTTTAAGTTAATGGCCTTACAGATTTCTCAGTTGCAGGGTCCAGGTAGAGGAAGGGGACGAGGACGGGGAAGGGGAGGCCCGGGTAGATTCAGGGGAAGAGATAGATCCTTGAGCCCACAAAACCCAGGCTATGGGAACCAATGTCATTATTGCAAGCAAGAAGGACATTGGAAATCAGAATGCCCCAAGCGCCCCGGCCAAGGACCCAGACCCCAGTCCCTGCCCCCACCTCCACTTCCTGTCAATTTTCCCAGTGTTGAATAGGACAGCCTGAGGGACAGTGACATCATCGCTCCTTTGCTTGCTACTGACCAATCTGGTCCGTTTGTTGAATGCCTTATTTCTGGTAAACCTGTCTCCTGTCTTGTCGACACCGGAGCATCCCGCTCCACGCTAAAGGCTGCTGAGTTTCCTTTTCTACCTTATTCTCCTGAAACTATAAATGCTGTCGGTATAGGCGGACAACCTATCCCACATCCCGTCTCTGAACCTGTCTCCATCTCTATTGGCCCTTTGTCTGAAAATCATGCCTTTCTTCTTAGCCCCTGTGCACCTGTCAACCTTCTTGGTAAGGATTTGTTGTGTAAACTGGGATGCGTGATTTATTGTAGCCCAGATGGTGTTTACCTTGAGGTACCAGAACATAGGGAAACTGAGCTTGTGGCTTTGCTAACCCAGGAGTACTCTGAACCTGACACTTCCTACTTGCAAGAGGAACTGTTGGCACGAGTACCTCCACAGCTGTGGTCCACCCATGCAAATGAAGTGGGGCACATGCTGAGTGCTGAACCAGTGCGTATCATCTTGAACCCTGCCAAGCCA